TAAGCCTTTCCTGAAAATTTGCTTGAGCCAGCTTCAGATTTTTGACCGAGATATAGGGATTTTAATTTTTGCTAGTAACAGACGAAAAACCGGTTTTTCACAAAACTACCTCTGGCGAAGTTATTTTCATTTCAACACAACAACAAATGTTGCCACTATATTTAGCGTAGTCGATTACCTATATTCTATGGCATTTCGAGATTCTCAGAGATGTCTGCTCGGAGACAGACACGCACTCGGGGAAAGCGAGCCCGGTCCGAACGTCGATAGCTGGAGAGCTGGAACTTGCATAATTTTGTAGAGTAACGTCCGGACTATCTATGCATGCAAAAAAATTGCTAACTACAACATTACAACTACCACACAGTAACTATTTTTTTTACATTTTAGTGATCAGGATTCCGACTAGGCCAGATTCGTTGATTAGGGAAGAAATACGAAAAAAAGGACATTTTCAGTTACAATTTTAAGCAAAACTACAAAGTCTTGTTTGTTCTTTTACTTCGACAAAATATTCAGGTCTGATGACATCGCTGACTTATAGTTCATAGTTCGTGCTATTTGTACGAAATGAGGAGAGCTACTCAGCATGTTTTTAAATGATTTGTCTTTCTCAGAACTATTCGTAACTTGACAGTATTAAAGAGCAGTAGATAGGTAGGGTTTGAGTTCCCTACTAAGAACTGAGAAAAAGAACTGTTATGCAGTTTATGTTCGAGTGACTCTAACCTGTTTGTAACACCTCTTGTGTGCAGCACAGTGTATCATATTCAGAATTCTGCGTGACAACGTCTACCCTGGAGCTATTTTTGACAGCATCTTGGTTTTTTCACCGTTCTGTGCAAGATTTGTTGCCGCCATCATCGTTCGGCTGCAAACAATCGACGTTTGCAGGCAACCATAACCTGGACCAATTTTCTCTGTTCGCGGCAGTCTTGCTCCTCCGGTTCTCCCAGTTAAATGTCAGATTTTGCGATTTTGGATATATGTAACGAGATTCTGCCTTTTCGGAGTTCTGTGAGTGATCTGCTATTCAGGATATTTCTGATAGGATTTTGAATTGGTTAGGAGTCTCGTGCTTTTGCTCTTGTCGTGCTCCTTCACGGATTTTTGGTATTCTCAGGATTTGGTGTGAAATTTCAATAGTTTCGGAATTTTGTACGGAATTTCGCTGTTTCTGGAAGTTTGTTAAAGGTTGTTCGCACAAAACCCTGGACATATCAGAATCTCGCCAGCAGTTTCTTCAGCAGTTTTCTGTTGAAGTCGTCTTTGTGTAACACAAGGTTTTCCTCACAATCATTGTAAACCAATGATTACCAGCACAGCTGATGTTATACTTAACTGGCTTTACCTTCTACGACAGATCTCAGTCCAATTCAACCGGTATACCCGCTGAAAATGTTTACCTAGAACATCGTTGATAAAAATTTCTAATTTGGTACTTCACAAGTTGATCTGATTGCATATTTTACCGTAAGACCAGAAGTCCGATCCGACTTTCTAATTTGATTGCACGAAGACGACGAAACTTCAGAACCCTACTTTGCTGTCTTCCAAAACCTGCTATCAGTGTCTCTTCTACAAGCAATAATAAACATATTATTACTGTCCTCTGATTTATTTTTAGCACCGAGCATCATCATTCACACCATAACCAGAATACAAATATCAGTTGTACATTCAAAAATCTATTTCAGTTATCGGCTCGATCGATGATTGCTAATAATTTACAGACAGTTTTAAAACTACAAAATATTAATACTGATGATCTTGAACATAGTACTACCAACTCATCGTATGAATTATATTGCACAAGAGATGAAGCGAACAGAATTCGAGATAATCTATCGTCGGTTTTACCCAATCAGTATCATCACGTATGGTATTCGATGAAACCAAAACCGTTACAAAATATTGAAAAACAATCTATATCTTCCCAACAAGAAAATGAAAAACAGAAAGAATATTCTGGTCAATGTCATTTTGGATCAATGTTGTCCTATAATAAATTTGCAAGTGGACAGTCTCGAGATGGTTTTAATATTAAAATTTGGTATAATAGACGTCGCAACGGAAGTGATCCAGAATCAATCAGAATTGTAAATCGGTTAAACAGAAACGAAGAAATATTTATTTCAATGAAATCGATTCAAAAACAAGTGCTGGTTCATCGTCATCCGGATATGATACAAATTGTGCTCATGTTAAAATACGCACCGAAAATAAAGAGATAAAATAGTGATAATGAATTCGATAGGTAAATTACTAAACTATCAAGAACGAGTAGAATAAAGTGGAGACAAATGTTCAAGCACTTGTATTTTTGATTTTTCTTCTCGACTGTAATGGCTAGAATAAATCTGAAAAACGATTTGAGTAGCTGAAAGGGTTTACTATTAGCAGCAACATGTGTAAGGATTTCATCGGAATTGCTGAAATGAGGATCTCTGAAGAACCAAAACCTCACAATCAATTCTCTACATTCGATCGGAAGCTTCTTGCAAACAACTCCATCCGATAGAGCAAACATTTTGAAATAAAATAAGACGCCTCTGAACTCTCCACGACCATTTTTCATCGAACTGTACTCAATTTATGAAAGACTCTAAAGGCATTTTTCAATTGGTTTTCTAAAAATTTCAATGATTTTGCTGTGTTTAACGCTTTGGAACCTTTGATAAACTGAATACAGTTCCATCAATAAAGGTCATGAAGTATAGTGGGATCATAATGTATTCAAATTGTGTGAATTCTCTTTTCGGATTCCTTGAAGAAAATTGGTAAAAATTATGGTTAAATACTGCTCATTCATTTCAATTCGGATTTAAGGTTTTGCATCACTAATGAATCTTCTACTTATTATCGAACAATTGCCAATAGTTCCGACGTTCTATTAACATTTACAAACACTCACCATGCTTGGACATTTCTTCATGGACTGACAAGTCATAAAGATGAAGGAAAATTTCAAATTAACTGGGTTTTGTTAGAACAACAAACATTGGACGAAAATCGTTCGATAAATGTACCTCTCATGGATTCATTTAAAAACCAATATGCCTTGCAAATGTTATTATCAATGGGTTAGCTATTTCAAGACAAATACACAACTAAAATTAGTCAACAATTCAACACATACAATTCATCAGTATTTTATGATATATGTTGCTTTCTTCGACGAGAATTAGACCAAAATCATTGTTATGATTTGACAGGGGTTTATGACGATTATCAACAATCTGTAGAACAGCAAAGTCAGAAGAGAAATAAACGATCAAATCAACAAGAATACTATCATGTACCATTTGCCACATTAACACCATTAAAAATCATATTTCATCCATTGGAAAGTACAATCGGTCATCGTGCTTTACGTCAACAACAATTTAATGGTGAACAAAATCTTTTACTTGTACACATAAGAGACGATGATAGCTCCATATTGCAAGATTTTAGTGATGCATTAAAAGATCGAATAAAAGACAAAATGCTAAATGGGATCAAATGTCAAGATAAAACATACAGATTTATTGGATCATCAACAAGTCAGCTGAAAGACTTATCTTATTGGTTTTTATCCCTTGAAAATAAATCGATCGATCAAGCTCGACAATTGTTAGGAAATTTTTCAGCCATAAACAATGTTGCAAATTATATTGCAAGAGTCGGACAATATTTTTCGACTACAAGACAAACGCAGGTACAATGATGGTTTTTGTTCGAAAAAAAAGCGTATACTTGAAAGGATACAGCCGTTCTATTTTTCTTTCAATCGTTTGTTTTTATATTATAGCTGCATGAAGACACTTCTGTTATCTCCATTCTACTGTTAGTCACGCGCTATTTTATCCTTTTCTGGAAACGAGGCGGCTCGGCAGAACGCTTATCACATTCGAACGAAAAGCAATATAGACATGTGATTTTCACCGTTGGATAGAGAACATCGGGGAATGTATGTGTATAACTAAAACTAGGCTTCCAGGTAAGGTTTACTATGATAAACCTTTCTGTGCAATGTATAGGAGACCGCCGCTCCAGAACTGTACGATGGATTTTGATTTCCAAAAGTGCAATCGATAGCCGAAACCGCGATCTACATTCTAGACCAGTCTTAAGTCTCTTTTCTTACGATTTAGGAGCTATAAGCAATTTTCCTGAGAGCACCGATTTCGGCCAGTTGACCTTGGGTGATACTAAAATGGGTCAAGATAGGGGTAATCGGCCACACTGAGTCGACTGCTGATGCTTATTTTTAGTTTCAAACCGACCTAAAGTCACTATATCAAGATTTTCGAAATATCCGTCCGCTCTATACGCAGCATAGCGGTAGAATGCTTTAATTTGAAAATCTTGATATAGTGACTTTAGGTCGGTTTGAAACTGAAAGTAAGCATCAGCACTTGACTCAATGTGAGTGTCGACAGCGACAGAGACATGCGCATGTCTCTATCACTTTTCGTTCAAATGTGATCAGCATTCTGCCGAGCCGCCTCATTTTCAGAAAATGATAATAATTACAGGAAAAAGTCATAAAACAAATACTCATTTTGGCAGTGAGGTCAAAGAAGTTGCTTCGCAGCTTTTTCTTCAAATAAATGCAGACATTCTATATATTATTAGATTCAGTATAATTTACTCTATATTTATACATAAACAAGAGATAAGAGATAAGACGACTCTCAAATATGGAAGAAACATTAAAAATATTTTGAAAACTTTCATCTTCCTATAAAACTGTTATCTGAAAAATAGTCTAGCCAACATGCTGAATGGAATGATATATCGAATATTTGTATTCATTTGAAAGGAAAATCTATAAGGCAACTTCTTTGACTTCGCTGCAAAGATTAATATTTCGTCTATGACTGTTTCCTGTAATTATTTCATGCCTAACATCATAGGCGAGTAGATCCATCTTTGTAAGTACTCTATGCAGGTATAGTATAAAAACAAACGATGAAAACATAAATAAACCGGAAAATACTTAGCCAAAAACTATCCTAAAACGCAGCACCTTGAACATAAAAAGACTTTTATCGTTAAATCTAACAAACTAAAAGCATAAAACAGTACTTACTCTAAAAGCTAACCTCTCCGGAAAAGTTTTGGTTAAGACTTATATCTTCCAAGAAATAAAATAAGCTTTTAAGTCGTTTTTTGTAAAGCTATTCCCAATATAATGAGGTTCTCCAGTTTTGCTGTACAGTATCTTCAAAAAGACCAAATTATTCAATATTTTGTCGAAGCTTCTTCCTCCCGAAAGCCATTCTTAACAACTTATGCGATTCTCACTGATGTCGGTGGAAACGAACAAATTCTTCTTGTTATCTGAGCCACTTATTGATGGAACTATTCGACATGAAGTGAGAAAATGCCCATTAGAACTATATTTCTCTAATCTCACAAGATATTTTTATTGTCTGTTTACGTTGCAGTAGTCTAATGATAACGCTTGTTTTCATTTATTTCTAGATTAGACTTCAATATATCGAAAAAATATCAAAACCAAATCAGTTACCGCCTTATGTAACAGACATGCCGGATGTACAAATCGACACTGATAAGAAATATTGTTTCACGGATGGTATTGGAAAAATTTCTTTGGGTTTGGCAGGTTTAGTAGCACGAAATTTGAAGATACCATTAGAATCGAGGGTATGTGTACGTGTGTCACTGCATCAGTAAATAATGCTATAGGACTTTTGCTTCTCTACAGGATGATATACCATCGGCATTTCAAATTAGACTTGCTGGCTGTAAGGGGATGCTTGTCATTGATTATGAATCAACGTTAGACGATTATTACATCAAGATCAGACCCAGCATGAAAAAATTTGAAAGTGACGATTGGGTTCTAGAAATATGCGATCATTCAAGGCCAAGTAAACAAAAAATAATAACCCAGCTGTAGTTCGCTCTTTAAATCGCCTTTTAATCATTGTTTCAGTGTGTTTAAGTTTTAATAACCAAGTTATTATGCTCCTGTCGGACTTGGGAAATGAAGACGGCATATTCGAAGCTTATCAAAGTGCAAGTACAACATCTTGGCATTTACCAGAAGAATTGTTTCTAAATGCAATGGAGAGCAGTGTCGAACGCGAAAAAAATCTTCGATTTCTATCTGCGTGGGTATATTTAGCATACAGAGATGGGCATGTTACGACTTTTTCAGTCTCAGTCACGAAACCATCACTCACAGCGACTTTTTCCTGAGTTAGGTACTCTTCTAGACGAAGTGCGCTTTCATTCATTCAGCTTTTCTTTTTTATTCTGATCGTAGTATGCATCTTTTCTTTAATAACAAATGTAACAATGTAGAAATATATTGTGTGATGTTATTAACATCACAAACAGTACAGAAAAACACACTTTTTACATCTTTTGTTAAAGGGATGCCGTCACACAGTTTATCGCTTTAAACGCTTTCTATGTTTGACAGATTTATTCAAAGAAACGACAGCGTTGATATATGAGATATACAATAGATATTGCTTCTAAGTTTGAAATTGTCTTTTGATCCAAATGTTCACTGCACTCACTATGAAATTACTCTATCTTCTGTGAACTTGACTGATTAAAATAAAACTAACTAGAATGTACACCTCTCCGCGTTCTATGTCAGTTTGAAGTACATTTTTGAAGTACATTTTTTAGAAAAGGGTACAGTCTACTTTATGGGATACAGGGTTGTCAATAACGAAGCTGAATATGAGACATATACGCACTTTTTCTGCCAATTAACGAGTAGAATCATTTCTTAAGAGGAGTTCTGGACTAGCATGACTTTCCGGCATTCTCTTCGGGTCATGACTTAGGGGGAAAGGCCACCAAGTGTTCCCTCGCTTTTAAGCTGAGACTCAGTTGACCGGGGGTAATCGAGCATGCTGATTCCGAATTTCATAATGGTTTGGGCTAATTTTGACTTTAAAGCCCCGGTTTTTGCAGATCTTGGTTTTAAAACCGAAAAACCATTTGCGCTAAAAAATTTTTTTGATCTGTCCAATTGATAGAGTACGTCGCGAAACCTACAGAAAACTACTTTTCAAGGTTTTATGACAAGTTCTGAGCGAGTTTTCTACGTCAAAAACTTAAAGAAAGATGGGGAAAAACCGCCTTTTTTACGCAATACAGTGCAAAAATTGCTCGTTTTTTGCCTTGTTTTTCAAATTATCGAAGGCCTTTAATCAATATCTAATCAATAAAAACCGATTCAGTGCAATCGTTTTCTTGACGCTGTTTATGAACATGCTCGCTTGGAAAGCAAACTTCATTAACATTCTGAAAGGGTGTTGGGTCATCTTTTGGTAAGCCGCTAGCAAACCAAGAGTATTTTACCATTGAAACAGAAACATCTGCACTCAACTGTTTGTGCATAAGACTAACCAACCGAATAATGTTATTACGTTCACGTAAATGAATGTTTAATTTGTCCAGAGCTACACGATGATAATATGCTTTTAGAAAGTTTTTAAT